TAATAAAAACTGCATTCATATGTAAATCCATAGCAATTCTTGTGATACGCTATTCATTTTCAATCAATTTCACGGTCGGAGCACTAATTTTCATACCTTATTATCTCATGTTTCCACTCTTATATGTATTGATAGGAAACACAAATGAAATGAATCTCTGCCTTCATTTCTTATATATAAGATATACTCAGTATTTCTCATCTCATCTATTAAATCAAATTTTCAAAATCTCTCTCTCTCTCTCTCTCTCTCTCTCTCTCTCTCTCTCAGTTTATTTCTTTTACTGTAAAGATATTCTCACGCAGTGTCTGATGAGTGAGTGAATGAATCAAAGAGAGAGAGAGAGAGAGAGAGTCTTAAATCGATATTTTTTATCCGCTTGACCTCAACCACCAAATCTCAAACACTATTTTACAATCACTTTATTATTGTTAAGGCAATAATTTTGAGTTTATTTTAAGATTTAAAAATAGACTAAAAAATTCAATTTCATTTCCAAATAAAGTTAGTATTATTTGACCAAATATTTTGCAAATACAATGAACCCTCTATTCTATAGTGTACTACAGGTTAACAAAACATTTGACTACAATATAATACCTGTTATAAAAGTTTGTTTGCAAATATGGATATAGTTTGTGAAGTAGTTAATTGAAAAACGCATAGCAATTGTAATAAAACTTAATAAACATATCATAAAAATTACTTCAAATAAATCAAAATTCTTTATACATTACACCAAATATATTGCAAACAAAATTGCATTCAACTAATAGCGAGACTTTAGTGTATAATAAAGTTTTTTACTTAAAAACAAAATTACAACTCATCTGAAAGTCATGGAGAAAAGCCCTTAAACTCGATTACGATATGATATAAGAGAATAGAAATTATGATTAAATGAAATAAGTATTAGGTTTCCAACAACAGCACCGGTATGTTGTAGAGGACCGCACCTTAGACTCGATGCCAACAAACCTAATCATCAAAGACTTGACTCTTAGGGAAAAACTGCTAATAATTTGTTTTATGTCTTATAAATATTGCAACATTTTTATGATTATTTATACGAGTATTACATTTGCTATGAATTGAAGACTACAGAATATTATGGTATGAATGCATACAAAAGGCTATGATTTGGCGATATATGAGATTTTAATGATAGCTAAACACTAGGAATCATTAGTTTATATCTTAATGATGGGCTACAGAATTGAAAAGTTTATTTCAACTCTCTCTCTCTCTCTCCCTCTCTCTCTCTCTCTCAACAAAAATTTTATTTTATTTATTCATTGGAATTGCTTTTGTATTTCTATACTATACTTATAGTTATTTTATTTATTGTTTGTGTTTATTCTGAACTACAATAACACACACGAGAGTCAAAACTTTTACTTTAAGTGTTCGTACAGTAAGTCCTCGTTATAATGATTACAACCATTAGTGTACATCATATACACAATGATCGAGGAGTTTACGTACGACTCGTATATAATGGGGTAGTATTTGATTGATTGCCTAATCATTTACATCCCTAACTACTGGATACGAAAGGTACAATCCTTTCGCATATAATATACACTAACCACTAACTAATCCAGGTAATATGTTGACCATTATTCTAAACCCTTGTATAAACTGCGGTTCACTATAACAAGTGTTTACTGTAAACAGTATTTGAAAGTTTGGATCAAAAGAGAGTTCATATGATCTCATGGTTTGCTGTAATAAACGGCTGACACAAACAAATTGAATGAAAAGTGGTTTTCAGTCTTCAGTCTCTCATTGATTGCGAGAAAAACTGCTTTTCATTATTTGAATCCTTATATCAAAGGTTTGAACACAACTTTTGGTCGGAATTCCCGACACAAAGGACTTGTGGATAGACTTTGTGTGCAAAACAGATATCGGAGTGAATGAGTGGGGATAAGGGGTAAGGGATATACACCTCGAGAGAGAGAGAGAGAGAGAGAGAGAGAGAGAGATAAATGACTTTTAAGAAAATATTTTCGACTATTTTGTTATCAAATATTTGTTTAAATTTTATTGTATACAAGAATTTATTTGCATTTAAATACTCCATTCATTTCGATAATACTCTTATAAAGTACTTCACAAAAACAATTCATAACTTTTATAATAAGTGTATAATTTATACAAAAAAAACTTCAGTACAAATAAATTGCATTTTTAGGCACTTGGTACATTTGTGTGTTGCTCTTATAATATACACTATTTGTATATAAAATATTTTTAATATAACAAAAAAAATGAGACAAAATGTAATAATAATTTATATAAAAAATTATATTAATATAATAATTGAATAAACGATTCGCAAAAATGAGATAAAAATCATTATTAATTCGTTATTAAATTAGTTCAGAGAGAGAGAAAAGTCTCATAATTAGATGCAAATGAAAAAAATGAATTACAGATTAAAAACAAAAATTAAAAAATAGTTTTTTAAATTCAGTGAATAGACTGTGACGGGTGAGTGAGACTCGAGAGGGAGAGCAAGACTTTGGGAAAATAGGAGATCCTTTAGTGATAGTCGAGAACCGGTTGAGACTTCTTAGGCATGAGTTTCCAAATGAGTCGAGAAATGCAGTGAAAAGGACGGCTTGTTTTGGCGATTGGATAGGGATGTGATGATAGGACAGACACACAGTGTGTATATAATAAAGAGAATTATTGAGAGGTTTTGCTCGAAGTTTGAGATTATTTTTAGTGATGTTTTTGGCGCAGAATTAATGCCCAGAATTCGCGTCGATTTTTGTGTCGAAAAAAATAATTTTTCTTATTTTATATCATATTTTGATTTTTATATCAAAATCCAATGGAATGTGTGTTTTAGGTCCCAGTTATTAATTATCAGATGATAGGCTTTCCCACTAAATGGTGATTCAGTCGAGTTTGTTGTGGTGTCGGTGGCAGTCTTTGTGATCAATCATCGAAATGCTTATCAATTGATTAATATATTTAAGAAATAATAAGTCTTTGAGTTTTTTATGTATGCATTTAGCTGTCAGTGCTTTTCACGTAACTATTCAAACAAATGTCACTAAAATAAACACAATTTTTCACTTAACGTACGAAACATTATTCATATAAACAACAAAAACTAAATCAAATCATCAGATCATTGATTAGATAACAGCCGCGACACTAATACACACAACACTAGTAGACACGCCATCGGCCTATACTCCACGTACGGTCGGCTACCGGCGCCCACGAACCCGGCGTAGCCAATGCCGCACGAGGGCGGGCACACCACGTTCACGGACTCCCGGAGCTCTATAATCTTCTGGTCGGAGCCCAACTTATTGATGGCTTTACACACGTATTCCCCGTAATGCCGTTTCTCAATACGCTTGACCCGGAGCACAGAATCGGTGAACTCATGGCTCGTACTAAATATGCTGATGTGATGGTGCTGGGAGTCCTTCAGCTCATACCTAAGATGACCAAGTTGTTAATTTAGAGACAAATTTGCAATGATCATTAAAAAAATATATTGGCAAAGTTGCAACTATTTAATTATTTTCTATTACATAATTATCATGCTAAAATTTTCAATTAATAAACTCCCACTTGTTTAGATAGTTTAAATATTTGCCAAAACCCGGAGCACTCGGTAATACATACCCGTCCTTAAGCCATATGATGCTGGGATTGGGGAACGACTCGATATGACAGTGCAAATCGGCGTCATATTGGAGGGCCTGCATGTATCGCACCTTATCCACAGTGACCGCCGGCGCGAACTCCACCTCAACGCCCACATTACGTCGGGCACCTTTGCCCACGTTATTATCGGCGATACAGTAATAAGTACCACGGTCATTCTTGGTGATGTTGTGTATGATCAAGATGTTGCCCCTATAGAGTGCGCCCCCAGTGGGCAAGAGGTCGTTGTTCTCCCGGCGCCAACTGATCTGCGGCTGAGGGAAGCCAAAGGAGTAACACTGGAGGGAAATGGATGCGCCGGCACTCGTGATCACCGATCGGGTGCTGTTGTCGCTGATGACGGGCGGGATCCGCACGAAGACGTTCACATCTGCGGAGATATTATATACCATTAATTGGTTTGTTTGTGATTTACGAGGAAATGGGTGGTATGGGGAATGGGATGGGCGGTTAGCACCGGGATTATCCGCTTTTTATGGCAAACACCTATCATTTATAGCCAGGGATGAGATGTTTTGTTAAGGAAAATAAGACTTTTTTGTTTATAATTAGTGTTTTTGTTGGAATATATGTCCTAATCGTAAATAAAGGGATTGGGAGGCACTGGTAGGGCAGTCCTGACACTCGGAATAAACTTTACGCCAAAAAACACCACATATTTAACACCCTCTCGTAAATAATACTCTAATTCCTAACTATATAAACCACATAAACATGCATTAACCCCAATATAAGGGACAGGGCGTTTACGGTATATGGTATACCATACCTGCGGTGACCCGGCTGGACGTGCCGATGACCACTTGGCACTGGTAGTGTCCGGCGTCGATCTCCTGGATCTTAGAGATCTGCAGCGTATAAGTACTGCTGGCGTCGTCGTGTCGGATGGAGTACCTGTTGTCCGGTATGGACAGGGATGAGCCCTTGGAGATGAACAGGTGGTTCACGGGGTTATCCCTATTAATCTTAGCCCATATGGTGGGGTAGTCCCTGGCGTACTGTACGGAACAGGAGAGGTCTATAGTGTCGCCGATGTTCACAATACGCTCTTTCGTGATGAAACTGATGGTCGGATTCTGTTGACCACCGATGGACACGAAGAATGCGCTGATTATCACCAATAATAGACACATGTTTTGTTGCGGCGCCGATAGTGTAGTGCACTGTATATTCGCGTAATGTATACAACAGTCACCAAATTCTTTGGGCTATACTTCCCAAAGCCTATGCCTTTTCCAACCACTGGATACACGAAAAGTTGTTTTTGTTGTATAATGTATTGGGAGTTGAGTTATAATCAGATTTGCTGAGAATCCCAGTGCAGTCTCACAGCACATACACCATACACAACATCCCAGCGCTATCTCACCACTGGAACTACTGGACCACTGGATTCAAGTCCTACACACAAGCGATCAAAATAAACTGAAACACTGTTTGAAAGTTGCATAGAGAAGGCACAGGTAGGGGAATACAGGCAGAGATGGAGAGAGAGGCACTCACACACCCTAACGAAGTCGTAGTGAAGCCAGACTTGTATTACCTGTGCCGACACAACCTGCACACACCCATTTGGAAAGGTATGCTAAGCGCTTGTGTGTTAGCTATGTATGTATGGATGCCATTGGCATTACAGACACTGGTTTGCAAATTCTACTCTCTCTCTCTCTCTCTCTCTCTCTCTCTCTCTCTCTCTCTCCTCATTGAATGTGCGTATGTTTTCCTCATAAACGCATTAAAAGCACCGGGAGTTTAGTCACTAATAATAAGTATTTTTTGAAAATATGCGAAGGCGTTCATAGGAGGGGAACTGTAGCCCTGTGTTTGTGTTGTATAAACTTTGTTCACTACATTGGGATACGAATTCTCCCAGAAAAGTGTTTGGATATAAGATTAGGTTTGAATTGTATGTGAGAAAGTTAGAGAGAGAGAGAGAGAGAGAGAAATAGAGAGAGAGAGAGAGAGAGAGAGAGAGAGAGAAACTTTGGTTTAAAAGTCCATAAATATAAGAGAGAAAACAAATTCAGACATAATTTTATTTTATTGATACAAATCTATTGCTAATATAATATTCACAAAAACTTTAGATATTACATAAAACTGCATAATATGTGCATAAATGCGCTAATATTTGTTGATAATACTCATTGCAATATAGTAAAAACCAGGTATATATTAGTGGCACTAACTGTTCATATCATACACAACACCAGAATATATAAAATGCATATAAAAGCGCAAAAAGTTTTTTGAAGGCTGGTGGGGAACTGGATGTTTAGTGCGACTGTCCAATCGACTCGCGATTCTCTCTCAGCCATTATTATTATTATTATCTCAAAAATACTCCTGAGTTTCGATTTTGACTCACTTTTGCTTCCAGAGAGTCATGTCTTTCTCTCTCCATTCTCTCTCGCGATACTCCACTTCTCTCTCACTATTCATTTGACACATATTTCTCTCGCAGTCGACGACTGGTGTATTGATTTCGCTGTCAAAAGGAGTCACTTCTTATTGCTAACTATTATTCTCTTATATATCCATTATATTTAAGTTTAATATAATATATTGTGTATCATATATAGAAATACATTATTAACTATATATGTATGTATGTGTTTGACATCTATTTATAGCCGCGTTTTATAATAATTGTTTTCAATTTAATAATCATTAATGAATATAATTAGCCACTTACTATCGTGTCATTTGTTATATTCAATTCTACCAGTCACATATTGATTGGAAATATATTTTAATTATTCTAATATTCTTTGTAATTTAAATATTACAAACAATTGCTAGGATATTATTTGTCTCAATACATAGAGTCACATAATTGATTGTCAAAGACTTTTGACTTTTAAAGAATATTCTGTGTTTGTCTCCCAAAACATACACTCATTTGTCCCGTTATTCTGCATACTATTCATTGCTAAACACATTAATCATCACATATTCCACTCGTGTTTTGAATGAACAGAATAACACTATTTGTCACAAAATAATATATTAATTCATATATTAATTATATATTTAAATAATAAACAGTTTATAGAAATTGAAAATCAATTCTAATAATAATGAAACAAATCGATGTGAATGAAGATCAGATCCTTGTGGTGACCGCCGAAGACTCACTGCCGGAACAGTTCGACACATCAGACTTACCCACGAGTCTAATCATCACAAACATCGACAGCCGGGTGTTCACCGCCGACGCAGATGTTCGGGTGAGTGATAGCCTCCTTATATACATACAGTATGTCTAGTATAATGATATTCATGTGGATTATCATCTCGTACTTCAGGACCACTTCGAGGAGACGTTCAAGAAGTTCGACACTTCGGCCACTTTTCAGTACTTCAAGAGCTTCCGGAGGGTTCGCGTGAACTATTGCTCAGGCATGAGTGCCGCACAGGCGAGGATCAGATGCCATCAGATGAGGATTGGCGACGAGATTGTTAACTGCTATTTCGCCGGGGTTTGTGTCACGAATTACATTACATACCACTCCATATACCACACATACCTGTCCACAATAACTGAATTGAATGATTAACAATATTTATTGAGTATAGAATTATATGTTATTTTATGTAATGTATGTCTATTTTATGAAATGTTTTTCATTAGTAACTTGTGTTTACTGATCAAATCATAAGAGAATTACTATTGCTATACTGTATGACCATGTATAAACTAAATCAACTACCTCCTACACATAATTATCCACCCTGTCCAGTTTTATATTGAATGAACAAAACACATATAAATTAGATTTCTTATAGGAATTGACGAATTGTTTAGTTTGTTATTTATTGTAAATATTTTTGGATCTTAAATTAAATCATTTAATATATACTGGCTAGATATTTACCTATCAATATAGATAACACCTAGATAACTACAACACACCACCCTATCAATTTTCTAATATATTAAATGCCTAAATATATTCAGTACTCATAGAATATTTTAAAATTATTTTGTGATAATTTAGTTTAATTGTGTATTTATTGGTTGAATGAGAACCCATGAGAATATATTCTATAATTCCTAACATACCTGTCCTTTGTGTCCAAGGGTTAGTTGCCTGATACATACCACTCAATTAGTCTCATTATTATTAGACAAATACATTAATCACTCATTTGATAATCATTAATCTATTGACGCATTCAATTAGTACTACTTATCTGTCATTAAATCCATAAACGGATTGTCTCTAAAACTTTATTTTCAAAACTCAATTGTAATGACACTTTATTTTTCAATGAGACTAATGATTATATTAATTAATTCAATGAATTCTCTAATTCTAGCTCTAATTTCAATGATAGCTTATCTAACAGTTCATTGAATGGAAAATATTTTTAAAATTAGCTTGAATTTATTTACAACTTTCTGAAAATTATTTTCATTTTAAGTTTTAATTAAATATTTGAATATAATTCTGATTATTCATTGTATTCTGTATTTATTGAGCACATATTCTTGGGTTAAATACACTTTTATATATAATTTATACCCAATTTTCATAAATATTTATAGATAATACTAATTACACTATCAATAATATGTATTTAGAAAATTGATAACTAATATATAAATGATAAATAATATATACTTTAAGACAATTATATCTAAGAGTACGAGAGCTTTTTGATGTAAATTTGGGTTAAATATTGAAACAAAATTGTCATCACTTTAGGTATTCATTCAAATCAATCACAACTTGAGGACTGGTATTATATTTAATGTCAGATTACTTGGTATTTCCCAATAATAATAATGATTACTAAATAAATGTCATTATGATTTGTATTTCAAATCCTACTAATGATCGGCAAGAAAAATAGATGTATAATTTATTGGATTTTTAATTATTGACTCCCATTTGAATTAAGTATTAAGTGGGTAGTCATCTGATGATAAAAACAATTTATATAAATCTTTTAATTTTCAAATGAATTTCTATTACACTGTGTTTACCGCTTTTAAATGCCAAACACAATTTTTATACATTAATTCATAGTATTATAGACATGGTTGTGATATATAAATACCAATTGATATTCACGTCTAAATGAACGTAACATTTAGTTTTTCAATTAACATCCGCCTGAATACCGGTGTGAGAAAGCGCTGGTAGTGTCGACTCTTGAGGTTATCCACAGACAGAGAAAAAGCACTAAAAAACAAATAACAAGTCCACCGATAATTACATATCAATTGCTATCATTAGATATAAATCGAAAGACATTTGTTTCAATCATTAAACTACTGATGACTTTGAAATATTTACGGCAAAATAAAACCCCCGAATTATATACTTATGAATACATATTCTTGGGTTAAATACACTTTTATATATAATTTATACCCAATTTTCATAAATATTTATAGATAATACTAATTACACTATCAATAATATGTATTTAGAAAATTGATAACTAATATATAAATGAAAAATAATATATACTTTAAGACAATTATATCTAAGAGTATAGATACTAAAGCTTTTTGATGTAAATTTGGGTTAAATATTGAAAAAAATTATCATCACTTTAGGTATTCATTCAAATCAATCACAACTTGAGGACTGGTATTATATTTAATATCAGATTACTTGGTATTTAATGAATTTGTTGTCAATTCAGGGGAACTGTAGTATTTAGACTTATAAATGATTTTCCACTACTCTTTATAAATAATTATTTATTTTAAATATTACACGAATTAATTCCCAATAATAATAATGATTACTAAATAAATGTCATTATGATTTGTATTTCAAATCCTACTAATGATCGGCAAGAAAATAGATGTATAATTTATTGGATTTTTAATTATTGACTCCCATTTGAATTAAGTATTAAGTGGGTAGTCATCTGATGATAAAAACAATTTATATAAATCTTTTAATTTTCAAATCAATTTCTATTACACTGTGTTTACCGCTTTTAAATGCCAAACACAATTTTTATACATTATAATTCATATTATTATAGACATAGTTGTGATATATAAATACCAATTGATATTCACGTCTAAATGAACGTAACATTTAGTTTTTCAATTAACATCCGCCTGAATGCCGGTGTGAGAAAGCGCTGGTAGTGTCGACTCTTGAGGTTATCCACAGACAGAGAAAAAGCACTAAAAAACAAATAACAAGTCCACCGATAATTACATATCAATTGCTATCATTAGATATAAATCGAAAGACATTTGTTTCAATCATTAAACTACTGATGACTTTGAAATATTTACGGCAAAATAAAACCCCCGAATTATATACTTATGAATAGTATGTAGAAATTATAATCTATTGCCCCACAGTCTGACCATTAATTAAGTTATTAAAAAGAATTATAGTATTTATATAAGTACTATATATATAAGTATTTGATAATGTCTACATATAGGGTAATATAACTTAATATAATAATATGATTATCCTAAAAAGATAGATATTCGGATTTGGATTTCGTGTAAACAATTGAATTGAAATGTATATGAAAAAAATAAAACCAAAACTCAAATGAACGCAAACATGTCATTACAGCCAACCCTATCAAACCGGACGTATTTTTCTATCTATAAGCCTAAACCTAAAGCACATTTCAATTGAATTGAAATGTATATCAAAAAAATAAAACCAAAACTCAAATGAACGCAAACATGTCATTACAGCCAACCCTACCAAACCGGACGGACCCGAACGACGTACACCTTCACCCTCCGGCCCCACAAAAGCAATTCCTAATCAGTCCGCCGGCGTCGCCACCGGTAGGCTGGAAACCCGTGGACGAGGCCCAGCCCTGCATAAACGTGGACCTACTGTCTGCGTTGGCCAACCTGACACCCGGTGCCACTCACGAGCTGCACCCGCAGTCCGACTCACAGCCCGGTATTGTCGTACACGTGTGCGAAGAGGACGAGAAGATAGGGGACAGTCGTCTGTCGGATAAGGAATGGAAGCCGAAGGTTAAGATTCAACAGACCGCCCGACCCGGCGCTGCCATCATTCAGAGGTCACTGTCTGAGGGCTCCGAGGACTCCCTGTGCGCTACACCGCCTTAACACCCGGTGCGAGCCCCACATACACCCCCACCACTCGCTGTCTATTTAATCGTTTGTGAAGTTTTTTAAACGATATATAAATTAATGATTTGTTTTGATTATTAGAGGGTTTATATGACACCACATACGAGGCATACATTTAATTATTAATTTATTTTTGTTATCATATTCCTGTGTATACAAGCGGTCAGTTGTGTATATCCCGGTGCGATTTAGTCGTATATAATCGATATTTTAATTACATAAAGAAATACTTATATTCAAGACACGAGACATGACATCCCATAATCATTTATATTGTAGATGTTTTGTCGCTAAAATTTATGTGTTAATTGTTTTATGTTTTATAAATACTTTCAATTTGTTGTGTATTTGTCGTGTAAACTATCATTTGGTTTATCCATTCATTCCACTATTCATTCAAACCATTGTTTTTTAAATATATTAAATTTAGTAGTGAAATCAAAATGTAAAACACATTTTTTGTCACAATATACAGTAGTATGCAATTGTTTTTTCAGACACCTTTTTTGCTTGACACTTTGACATTTTAATTATGATTACTATTGCCGATGTTATTGAACTGATAGTTAAAAAATTATATTTTCCGTAGAATGAAATGGAAAACAATTTTGTAGTCCTATGTTGTAGTCAACAGTATTTATTGTGTTATTTATTTAGTTTGATATTTTTTAGTCCTTACGTCATAGTAAATGAAAATTTATTGTAACTATTAATACAACAGAATATTTATGATTGTTGAGTATAATTCAAAACATTGAGCGAAATGTTTACATTAAATGTCCAAATATTATAGAGTTTTATCTATTAATGAGAGTATTAAAAATATAATACAATTTTTTATTCATGAATATATAATAAATATTTACAAAATTAGTTACAAATAATAGTGAAAAGTATTTTACGAATTAATAGTTCGCTACAAAATTAAATTATAATCAAACATATAAATATATATATATATATATAAGTGTAAAATTTTATCACATATAAAATCCCCGACAATATTATTTGTGTAATAATTTGTAATTTTAATTCATTTGTATACCAATGTCTTTTTAAACACATACAGTAAGTGAAAAAAAGTGATAGAAAAGTGTTGTCGACAAATACTGACTGAAAGTTTTAATGAAAAATGTTTGTAACGAAAACTCATAACAGAAATTAATTTTCATACTAATTATTATTAGTATAACAAAAAATGTATTATAATTTTTACCAGAATATCATTCAGTGTATTCACTCATACATACGATACGAACAACTAATTGATTTTTTGTAGACATTGTTTTTTCATTCATAACGTATATATTAATTCAGAAATTACTTACAAATAACTTTAATTAAAAGCAAAAACAGTGATTGATTGCCGCAAAAGTTATTATCGATTGTTATTTATATAACAAAACATGATTGATTCAATTAATACACTTATGTCTATAATTTTAATTCTATTTATTAAAAGTTTATAATAATAATTATTATTTATTATCCATGCTATTGTTATTACACAAGTCTGTGATCTTATAATTTGTTTCAACAAAATCGTTATACATATAAAAATTATTTATTAATAGTCCGAGTCCTGGGAAAAGTTGTTTCATTCATATGTTTTGCAATTCATTGAGACATTAAACCCACGAATTAATTCATAATTTATATTCGTCACGAGAATTTCTATTGAATATCATATAATATTCATATAATGGTAAGTAATGTTTATTTTGCTTGTTAATTTTAGATTTTACGACTCTATTTTTAAGTGTTGAAAAAATAAAACCTTTTATTTATTTGTCTGGTATTAGTATAGTGTGAATGTATCTATTTAGAGTAGTATTTGAATGAATTTTCTAAATATATCCACAATTTGTTTTTGTGTTTCTCTCTCTCCCTCCCTCCCTCTCTCTCTCTCTCTCTCTCTCTCTCGACGCAAATATATTTATTATTCATGAAATTCTACTCATATGTATTCATTATATATTCATTAATTGTTGAAAAACTGAGTTATAACAAAATAAATACAAATTGTAAAGTATCTCCATTGAGCAAATACTACGAAAACATTTATTTTTGTAACAGAGATTGTTATTTGCTATTTATATTCAAAACATATTGTTTTGAATAATTGTTTGCGTCAACGATATGGCAATTATTGGACATTTGAGAGGTATTTTGAGTACAGAAAACTTCATAACTTATACCATATTAAGGGTTTGAAGTTTTTGTTTCGCATGATTTGCATAACTCTTATTATTAAACGCAAGACTTTGTGCTTTATTTGACATTTAATATTATAAATATTCATATTTACATAAATAGTCCCCCAAAACACCAATCCTATGGCAAAGTTATGAAAAATTCCTATAAATTCATGGTTTGATTCATCTAATTATAAAAGTTATATATTTATCCTCAATACACGTCTAATTTATTGAAATCTAAACATGAATAAATAGTTAGTTTATATGTTAAAACCCCAAAGAGTAATTTTATATAGCATATATTTTTACATTTAAAACTAGAATTTCTCAAAACCCCTATTATATTAGTTTTTATACAAATAAGTAAGAATATTTTATGTATTTTGTGTTCCCATTGCATTGAAAATATATTTATGTAAATAAAAAGAATTTTTACAGAATTTTAAAAATTAATTTCTAACACAATATTTAATAATATTTGGAAATCAATGAGTTTATGCCAATTATAAATAAAACTAAAATAATTCGAGATAACTTTTAATGCAAAACATATAAGCTATAAAAACTATATATCAATCAAATTACATGAAATATATTTCAAACAAAACGATTGCTGAACACGAAATCCTATAGACTTGTCATGTATTGGAAAAACATTTGCCAAACAAATCGATTGTTATTTATTTTAACCTCTCTCTCTCTCCCCTAAACTTTTATAAATATCTCAGTCTATTATATTAAACACATTATTATTAGACATTGAATTAAATGTAATGTCAGTCCCAGAAATAGTTACTGATATGTGATGACCCAATCCATTAATCGGCGCCCATTTATTAGTCTCTAACATTTATTATACGCCGATACCTTTAATACCTGTCTCTTATATGATTGCCATATAATGAGCCTGATATTTGTTTTAAATATATTGCACAACCGATAAGATAAAAACCGGGCAAATATTTTATTAGCAAATTGTTTGTCGTATAAAAGCAAACATTTAATCGTTTAAACAAATGGTTATAAAAGACTTTAGTTTCTTAAGTATTGCGAAATTATTGTCAGAAAAAGCTTTTTGTTTTACATTTAAACAAATTTTTCTTTCAATTCATATAAGATTATCCAATTTATATTAACACTTAAAATAGATTTTGCTTAATTTAAATATAGTTTTGCATAAAACCTTTTGTTTGATTTTTGTTTTCATAGGCAATTATAACTAGATTTGAATGCTATGGTCTTAAATATATTTCAGATTTTTGGGTCAAATTTTTGAATCAGCAATGAATTGCTAATAAAACAAACATTTTATTTTGCAAACGATAAATACATTAATTGTCTCTACATTTCTTGTCGGCCTTTTATTTTCATTATAATGAATATTAACATCAAATTTAAATAAATCTGTCATTAATTATAATTACATATTAAATATCCCTCGTATTATAATTAAAATCAACATAAAAACTATATTTTATAACTTAATATTATTCACTCTCATTGGTAATACACGTATAAAGTATACACTATTATCTCATAATTGCTAAGCAATTGTATTCAGAGATCATTTGTAACACGAAAGGAATGTTTGCATTCGCATATAATACATACAATATACTTATCCTGGTAATTAGGTTTGTATTTGTAATACCGATATAACTGTTAAGATATGTTAAGAATTTATTGTCACATATTTTTCTATTCAATTTTCTACTGACAGTTTACCTGTCGTTTCGAGATTCAAACCATAGATTAGTTTGAAATTAGTTGAAAGCTTTTGCTATCAAATGAAACATTAAAATATTAAATTTAATACTTTCATAATATAGCTATGTTAGTATATTTCACATAACAAAAATAACCACGATTAGGCCATATATTTTCAACAATATTTTACGTTAGTAAAACCACACATTACATACCTTACGATACAATACACATAAATTCTATTTACTAAAACAATATTTTTCATATCAAGCCAACAATAAGTCCTTCAAATTCATGACTAAATTGATGTGAAAAAGAGATTTAAAGTATAGAAAAAATTATTATTAAAATGTTAAGCATATTGCCCTCAAAACTTACTAAAATTGTAAATAATTTATAAATTATAAATAACATTGTTAATATATTTCAGTTAACACTTATGGGAATGATTATAATTGATGAACATTTGTATACATTTGACTATACAATACTATACAACTGCATGTATTCCTACCTAAAATTAATTCGCGATTTATTTATACAAAATCACAGAATTATACAATTTTTGCACAAATATAAGTTTATATTTATGTAACATATTTATATTTCCAAAAAATCAGCCCACTTTCCCACTTTAGATAACAGCCCACAATCATACATAGATTCATTCATTTTTAGTGTCATATATTTCCCATTCAACCCCCAGTCCCCCAGTAATACACATTTAAATTGCGTTTCAAATGTCGTTTCATTGAGTATTTAGACGTCTATTCAATCTATTATTTTCTTTTTTCCGACTATTTGTTGAGTAATTCATAGGAAATATATTTGTAAAAGACGTCTATTATTATACAAGTGTTTGACAGAGGATTGTATTGAAGTGCAAATGCTTTTAACGACTCAACAAATATTCAATTATTGAGAAAATGAGAAAAAAATATTTGAGAAATAATTAGCACAAGAATAATAGCATGAGATGGCATATACTCATCATCCCATTGGATCCATAGGGGAGAGAGAGAGAGAGAGAGAGAGAGAGAGAGAGTATATAAAATATAAAAATAGTTTGAA